CCTCTCTCTCTCTCTCTCTCTGTGTTATTCGTTTTTCATCATCTCTTTTTTCATTTCTCTCCATTCGCGTCAACCACTCGCGGTTTAGAGTCGTCTGCGCCACGATGCCTTGTCAAACGAAATTACGAATGCACGCGGCGGACGGGATGAAGACGACGTCGATGGGTGTGCGCTTGGTCGCGACGTTTAAAGCCCGGTGAATTAGCCTACTTAGGTTGTCGGGCGTGCAGGCGAGCAAACGAGCAACAACTCGAGCGTGAACGGTCTCTTTCCCCTCGTCCCTCCTCACGTGGACGCGTTTCTTCTGCATTGCAGGACGATCATCGCGGGTTCAGGAGGCAGCTCGAGGACAAACGACCGATCGTCGAGAACAATTTGCTGAGCGGACGGCAGTACATCGCCAACGAGCCTCCCCTCTCTGACACGTCGGATTCCGAAGGTGAGTCGATTGGCTTTTATTTTTCTTTTTTTCTCGTAGTTTCCACAGTTTTCGCGTAAATTATCAGTAATATAGATGAGGGGATATTTATCTCCTCCGTTGAAGAGAATTTAATATTATTCGAGGTGTTTGTTTGTTGAAAAAAGTGTTTCGTAAAAAAAGAAAAGAAAGAAAAAAGAAGAAGGCTTCAGATAATTACATCAATTTAATTAAACACTTTGAATAAAATAGAGATTCTGTTAATGGGATAAGATTTCTGAAAATGCGTCAAAGGTTTAATTTAATTTCGAAACGTGGTCGGTTTTAATTAAATAGATGTTCTAATTGAAATCGGATATCGAGATATCACGAATAATAGAAAAGTATCACATAAAGGTCCAATTATGGATAGTAATTGTATTGGCTCTAATTAAAATTTAACCTCCCTTCTTAGAAATATGTGTTTGAACGGTTTAGACACTCGGAGAAATAACCAAGTTCGGAGCTCTTAAAGCTGTTTAAGGACTTTGTAAAGCCGAGTAAATCTTTGTGAAGCCAAGTTTAACGACCCTAGTTACCGATTTGAATTGAAGCTTCTGTAAACGAAATTAATCGTGAAGTAAATGAATCTTTCTCTTCTTTCTTGAGGAAGCGAGGAATGAATATCTCGAAAAGAAATTACGATAATTATTTTAAACCGAGTGATAATTAATCAACCAATTATTTATACACAGATTTTAGAATTTCCTTCCTCTTTAAGTTAACTTCTTCCGATATGAAGACCAATATCGATATCTTTTTGTGGAAATGTCGAATTCGATGTCTAATTTATGAATGATTAGATCTTCCTCTAAATCTAAACAAAAAAATCGATCTTCATATCAACGCATCCAATATTTCTATAAAAATAATTCATAAACGAAAGAGTCAACGAAGACGAAGGGGATGGATGCATCTACTTTCGATGCGACTCACGATAAAAATAATTTGAGGCAAAAAGGAATCGTCGAACTGGCCACGAAACGGCGATAATCCAGGGGACGAAAGTTCACTTGGAAGTGTAAAGAAAAAGTCGGCCAAGTACGTTCGTTGGCTTCCTCCGAGAACTGGTCCGCAATCCGCGACCGACTGAATTCGCCAATAGCACGGAGGCCTAGTAATTAAGAGGCGCGGCCGTTTTACCGTTTTCAATCCCGGTAATTCGTGGCGTTTTCCTTTCCGCGATTTTTCCATACCAATTAGACGCGAGAAAGGTAAGGAGAAGAAAGCCGATCGGTTGTGCAAGAATTCAGACTTTTCTCGTCTCGAGTTGGAATTTTTCGGATAACAAGGAGGGGAAGAAGAGGCTTTTTAAGATATTGAGAACCGGCCGTTTTCAAAGTGCATCGGCCCGCGTTTGCTTTGGAGAATTATTATTACTTCGAATTCGAAGAGGGAAATTTGAAGAGAAATTGCCGACGGGGCTAATTTCCGTTCAGATTATTTTCTTAATCGTGTTTAAAGACAAAGCTTACGTATCCATATAGACGAAAACAATCGGAGTGATGGTTCTAATCTAAATTAGATCAGAAAGAGTTTATCAATTCTTTTTAATAATTCAATCTCCGATTGGACATGGATCGAAACGAGGAAAATGAGGAATATTAAGTATCTTTCGATTAAAAGTTGGAAACAAGCGTGGAGACGACGGATTACTCTTCTCTCCGTGTTTCGGGGGTGAACGTTCAGAAATTGAAAACGGAAGACGGTGGGAAGATGGGAGGGGGCAAAATTGATTAAAGTTGTAGCTTCAAAGGATGGCCCCTCGCGGGAATTTGTCGCCGCGGAATGAAGAGGATTGTTAAGTGGGCTGATAAAATACGAGAAGTTTTCTCTTTCGCTTCCTCCTTTTTTTTTTTTTTCCTTCTTTTTTTTCTCTCTCTCTCTCTTCCTCGCTTCCTTTTACTCAAGCCAACGGAACAAGAGCCGGCCCTTGGAAACGAGCTTCATTCGTTCTTGTCACCGGCTTTCACGTACAATAACCACGGCGTACATGTAACCGTGGGTCCCTCTTGAATATTTCATTTAGATAATTCCACCCTCTCGAAACCGGGATTATTAAGAAACGCGAAACACGGGAATTTATGGTTATTTGACCAAGAAGAAGAAGAGGAGGAAGAGGAGGAGGAGGAAGAGGAGGAAGAAGGATTCAACCGAGAGAGGGGTGGGTTCTTGCCAGAAAATGGGGGCTCGTCCATTAAAGGGAAGAAACAAACGTCACCGGACCGCCCCTGTTCCCTGCCAGACAAAAGACAATGCCTTTCATTTTCATTCTCGTTAGAACGACACGAGGATTGAGTGCATCTCTGCTTAATTGTTCCTTATATTAATTAGCTTCTTAAAAAAAAAAAAAGGAAGAAGAAGAATATATATATATACATATACGCACAATATCTCTTCCAAGTCGGTCACTACGATTCTCAACTTCGCGATACCATTAAACGTTGAATAACGCAGTTTCTCAACGTGGTGTTTCCCAACGTGGAAACAAAAACTTGCGCGGTCAATGGTCAAACGAGAACCACTCGAGGGGAACCGCGGGACCGTATCAATCTAGTTACGAGTATCTAAGTGGAGAGAAACTGGCGAAACTTGTAAGGTTTGGAAGAGAACGTCTCGCAGGAGATCGGAAACTCTAAGCCCCAACTTTTCCTGGCAAGTGTTATTCGCTTCTAATATCGGATCCCTCCTTCCATTTTCGAGGAAAAATGATTTTTAAAAACATCCTTATTTTGATTTCAAATCGCTCCGATAAAAATTCCATTTTCGATCCGCTATTGAACCTTGCATCAATCTCCTCCTCGACCTTATGGAGGGTTGAAAATCGTCCGTCGATGGATATATAGAGTGCGGTATTCGCTCTAATATACATCTCCCTCCTTTTCCCTCACATTTTTCAAAGGAAAATGATTTCTAAGAAAAAACATCGCTATTTTGATTTCAAACCGCTCCGATGAAAATTTAATTTTGATTAAAAATCAAGATCAAGATCACAGTGTTCCATCGATTTAGATAATGTCCTTTCTTTTCTACATTTTCCAAGAGAAATGATTTCCAAAAACACCGTTGTTTCGATTTCAAACAACTTCGATAAAAATTCTATTTTCGACCCGCTCGCATCAATCTTCTCGACCTTATGAGAGGTTGAAAATGGTTCGTCGATGACGGCGCGTATAGAGTGCAGCGTTCACTCTAATATCCGTATACATCTTCCTCCATTTCCCCCACATTTTCAAAGAAAAATGATTTCAAAGAAAAAACATCGCTATTTTGATTTCAAACCGCTTCGAAAATTGAAAATTCCTCGTCCTCGCCTTACGAGGGTTAAAGATCACGGTGCTCCAACATCGACAGACTTCCCTTTTCCTCTTCACCACATTTTCCAAGAAAAACGATCCTAAAAAACCACCGTTGTTTCGATTTCAAATCGCTCCGATAAAAATTCCACTTCCATTTCGATCCACCCCCTGCTACGGGGGTTGAAAATGGCAAGATCGTCGATGATCGCCATTGAAGCAATGGTCAGTTACAAATTGCGAGCTACTATGCGCGTTTCTGAGCGGAGGAGAGGGGATTCGATTCGATTGGATTTCACGGGCCAGATCCCGAACAGCTGGGCAAAAGAGGTCGATAGCGGAGCACGATCTCTGATGGCGTGCTGGGATGCGGCGTGTTATATTGGTTGAAATTTATTGACGTTACGACAACGCCCGAGACTGCTCGATGCCGTGCACGTTTCATCGAACGTGACTCCCTGTCGAGCAGCCACGAAATCGTGCATCGGGCGAGTTCCGCTTGTCCTCGCGCTGGAGGCGGCGATCCTCCGCGTGTCTCCGATCGGATCCACAATCTCTGCGGCTTCGCGACATCCGTAACCGTGGGCTTCTTCCTCTGCGTGTAGGTTTTCATCCGCTATCCACCACTTCTTGCTCATTATCTTGCATTGAACACGTGATCGTACGTGATTCACCCTCCCCCCAGAAGCGTTCGTAATGTCGCAATTGATCGATGGAGAATTTTCTGGTCATTTGTTGCGGGAGTGGAAGTCACCATCTCTCTTGAATCCTCGAGAAAACGAGATGTTTGATGGATCGTTGTTTCGAAACTCGCTGTTCGTCTTATTTCGCGGTGTTTTCTCGGAATTTCGATTTGTTTCTTTGCAAGGAAACGAGAATATATATTGTGTTATTTAAAAGAGTTGAGAGAAGATTTATACGTCAAATGTTGTAAGAATGCAGGAAACGAAGAAATTGGACATTCTATTAAATAAGAAGAGAAAATAATTATAGAAAATATTTCTCTTTGCAATACGTTAAATGGTGGAAGTGGCACCAAAGTGTCGAATGATCGATAATTATATTTTTCCCTTCTCTCCACGATTGGACGATATACACGTTGAACGTTTGTAAGATTTATCGGATTTGTGGAAAGATAACGTGATATCAATACGTCGTCATAATGGAATAGAAAAATGTTGAGGCAGGAGAGAAGCAATTACGCCAATTCAGTGGTCAGTTTCTGAAACAGGAGAAGTTGGAGTGGAAAAAGAAGCGAGCGAAGGAAGGAAAAAAAAAAAAGAAAAACGGCGAAGGGTTGTAGGAAAGGAGTCGATGGAGGGGGAAAAAAGAAGAGGGGGAAACGAAGGGTGGATGTACGTGACCGGGGATCGAATGCGGCAACTGTTGAATGGATGGCTTACCGATGAAGAACACGACCGCCTAATTCGATTCGAGGAGGGGGGAAAATAGTTTTCAGGTGTTTTCCCCGTACAGACCGTGATGTCTCTTTAGCGGGCCCACGATCGGCCTGATTTAGATGTACTTGCTACCTGTTTCGACTTCTCGATCGCGTTCCTCGAATTCGATTCTCTATCCACCTGTCGACGCCTGTCGTCTGTCGCACTTCTGGCATGCGCTAGGAAACACCTATGAACACATTGTTTGGACAAGTTCCAAGTAGACAATTGTGAGAGCACGTGACGTCGATTGGAATTTAAAGTTTAAAGGACAAGTTTGCTCCGAAAATATTGAAAATAACGATCCCTCGATATTAATTTTTTTTATCAAAAAGAATTTTGGATAATTGGATAAAACTAAAAAAGAAAATTCGAGATCCGTCATTTCGACAAATTTTTTGTACATTCGTAATTTAATTTCGGTAATTCTTTATATTTTTTTTTTTTTTTAGTAATAAAATTATAAAATAGGAATTAAAATATATATCGTTAAAGTTACGTTTTATTAAAAAAAAAGCAAATTTTTAATTTTACGCTAAATTAAAAAAGAGTATCGAAATATTAACAAAGAGTTAATCAGTCGCGGAATTTTTTTTTTTTTAAAAATAATTCTCGTGAGTTTCGAGAACGACGCGAATATTGCACTCATTATTTCAAAATTAAATACTAAACTCACGTTTAACGTATAGTAATGATTCTCGTATATCGATAATGTACATCTTTCCGCCTTGATATCTCGATTCATCACGGCGCGATTTTCCCGCTTTTATCGCGAAACAGGATCAAGCGTGAAAAAAAAAAGATCGAACGAGGAGTGAATATTAGCTTTCCCCGCTCCCTCTCTTTTTCCTCCGCGTATCGATGCATCGATCGATCCGTGGATCGGGCGAATAACGACGGAAATCGAGTGAAAGGGCATCTGGAACTATAAACATAAATCATCATAACGCACGGCAGATATGGCGGCGGAACGAGGCAGGTAGGGTTGGTACGTTATCAATGCTAAGCATGCACATAAAAACTGTCCCTGCGTGATACGATGCGTGATTCATAGGACAATTAATTCGATGGCGATAGAACGGACATCGTCAAAATACAAACGTGGGATACAAACGTCATTTCATCACGCTTCGTTACCTGTCGCCTGTTTGAAATCGAAAAAAGAAAGGTAGAGAAGAGAAAGAAAGAGGGAAGATGGAGGATTTTCACTGAAGGCGTGATAGAACGGAAATCAAATTCGGTTTTGAAAAAGCGGAGATTTAAACGAGGAGGATTAAGATTTATCGATCCCCGTTAATTTGGAGAATCCCTCTCTATTTGCCGAAAACATGGGCAAATTCGAGAATGAATTGGTATTGTTATTGTTGCGAGGAATTATTAGATGGCTCAATTCGAAGATACCATCGTATATGAAATGTGCAACGGTTGAAATTTAACGCGTGAAAATTAATTGGAATTTGTAAAATCTGGAAGGAATATTATACGCGTTCGGTCATTTAAATATTCGGCTTGGATACGTTTATCTTCCATTCGTTTTTCCTACGTCTTTGCTTTTGTTCATTTGTTTCGATTTGTTTATTTGCTCGCTTATAATTTATTAGTTTATACAGTTCAATTCCCGTAATGCATAGGTATATATATATATA